TAAAAAACATTATAGATACAATAGAACAAGGCAAGTGATCATTGTGAATCATGCATGAAAGTAAACTAAAAAAATACGGTGGAATCCTACCAAAATATCGAGAAACCATACCAAGATAATAAATAATCAGGACATTACATATTCAACAACTTAACTTAGACTTGTCCCAACTATTTAGGGGCGGCTATATTAATCCTATTTTGTTATTTTGCTCTATCTGAGACAATAAGTTTAGTTAAACCACTAAGGGACGCGTTCCCCTTTTGAACGCCTTTTTTATGTTATTATTACTTATCAAAAAAAAAAAAAGTTTAGTTAAACCACATTCTACTATATCTTTCTTTATTATCACAATTCACTTTATTTTGGTCTCCCCTTCACTAGCATTATCATCAATATGGACCATGTTAATCTTTTTAACTGATAGTTATTAGTTGCCCTACATTTGGGCCAAACAATCTGAGTCAATTTCTCTCATTCCATCTCGAATAGGTAATACTACAACCTCATAGATTTAATCATTTCTAATTTTTTATTTTCTCGTCTAATCACATATAGATCTCAACATCCATACTTTGATCACACTCGCTTTATAAGCATATGTTGGTACTTAACAGTCCAACATTCTGATCTATAAGATATAGTTAGTTAGTTACTCTAATAACCGCTTTAGAGGTATATATTGAACACACAATATTCTAGAAGTACTTCTTTATTTAACACATCCTACTTTAATTATATGAGTAACAACATCTCTAGTCTCTCCCTCTTTGTGAACAATCTAGTCTTGGTAGCAAACTGTTTACATTTGGTATCCTTTACTCTTAATTTCAATATATGCTCACTTCTTTTCCTAGTTTACCAAAGTTACATTCTAATGTTCAGTTCTAATCTTATTTATATTAAACGTTCTTGAGTCTAGAACTTCTCTCGAGATTTCTAGTTTAACATTTATCCCTTCTATAGTTTCTTCAATGAAAACAATACCATCAACAAGCAGTATACACTATTCAAAGTAAATCATATACGTGATATAACAATTTGTCCACAATCAAGGTAAAGAGATAGGAGCTTCATGCTAGTCCTTAACATTGTTCATCTATAATTGAAAATTCACTTGTTTCTCATAAAGCTGTTCCATAACTTCATTGTACACAAACTTTATCGTGTTATATATCAATTTGTGACTCATTCTTTCCTAGTTATATTATATTATATCTCTAGACCCTAAGACAGAAATTTTCCAGAATTATAATGATTTTTCTTCTTGTTAGATCTTTCTATTACTAAGTAGATAATTCTCATTGTTAACATCATCAAGAATTCATTCTCATGGGGCCTGACAAAGGTTTTATACTGCTTTCAGTTGTCTTGCATAACCTTCCTCCTTTCCCCATGCTTGGGACTGGTTGTGTATGGATAAGACACTATACACAACATAGATGGAATTACCATGACCTCAAACCATAAATAGGAATTTTTTTGGCTGAATGTCCTGAATGACAACAACAATTAGTTCCTTTTATCTTAAAAACAGAAGAAGAAAGTGCCTGTATATTTTTCTCTTACAACGCAAAAAACTTTGCAATTTTGAGAAGCCCATCTTTTTTTTTTTTTTTTGATAAGTTAAAATTATAAGGATAAATTGTTTGAGAAGCCCATCTTTATGCCACCCGAAAACTGTGAATCTTTAAGAAGCCCATACTTATGCCACCCAAAAAACTATGCATTTAACAAGCCCATATTCTAAGAAGCACGGACACTTCTACAAAGGTGCTATATCCAAATCAATAAATGTCCAAAACCGGCAGTTGATGGACACTCCAAGACATGTGCCTAGTACTTCATGGAAGTGCATATTTAAAAATAAATTTCATTATTTCACACAGCCAAAACATTGGGAACATTTGACGGACACATCTCACATACCCCCAAACAAAAGTCTTATATAACACAAATACATTTAATAGTAGTCACATTCAAAAATCTTGGAAATAATATGAACACACAGCGTCCAGATATTTTATCTTTAAGAAAGTAGACATTATACACATAGACACCCCAAGTAAGCATGCAGTGGTAATTCGTCACATATAACAAAAACATAATTGTAATGGCAGAGCAGAAGAGTAATAACATATGGAATATAATAATCTTTGTTAGAAATTGACTAAAATTAAGAAGTGAAGTGGCTAAAATTGATTGGTCGAGTGAGGTGTATTTTGTTGATTGGTTAGTCAATGTTGTGATCAGTTGGTCAATGTTTACATGTCAGTGGATATACAATACAATTAATGAATGAATATGCAAGTGGTAAGTACTGTGGCGGTTAATGTTGTTTAGTTCACTGAATGAAGGAAACGTGGAGAGCAAGGAAAAGTAACATAGAAAAAATGAAGAACAAAGAGAGAGTGAAAAGAATAGAGAAAAAAGATTGAGGCTCAAGAGCGAGTGTATTCTTTAAGGAGAGAGTGTGTCTCCTTTTAGTGAGTGTGGATACCTCTTGGTATTCTGTTTAGTGTTGTAATCTTCTCTGTTCTGTAATAAAAGTAAGTGGTTCTTCATCCGTGTGTAAACCTTGTTATTTGTTGAGTGTGTTATTTCGATCCTATTTTCTGTTTGTTGTCATTGCATACTTGTATGTGTGATATTGGGCAAATTAATCTCCAACAAGTTGTATCAGTGTTGATACGAAAGGGATTAATTCATAACAAGTTTTACAATATTTGAATAGATTCATATTCTAAATTATATAACTCTTAGTATAGAATTTAAAAATTAATCATAATTCCTATAATTTTCTAATCCAATAGATGTATAGAAATTCAACTTCATATCTACCCAGCACTGTCCAGGCCCAAATTTTTAAGATCAGACGTGTAAGGCATATTTGTGTCTCACTGTGAATTAGTCCTGTTAGATTATATTGTATATAATCCTAGGGTTTACCGTAGGCTCGTAGCCGCCTTCACCTACCCACTTGCCGTACATAGATAACTTTCCCATCACTCACCTACCGTAGCCTATATATATAGGTGCTTTATGCACATTGTGTTATTCAATTCAATTACAGATTTCCCTATTCTCTCTCTATATATTTCTAACAAGCCCCGTGTCCGTGGATGTACTACTTAGCCCATATTTTACAACTTCAGCAAAGCCTGACACTAATTCACTAGCAGGCAACGTTTTTATTGTGCCAATGTCTATAAGAACAAATTGTGGCTGCTAAACATACCAATCAAAAAAATTACCAAGGCAGTGGTTTAATTTTATGACTGCTTTGCCACCTAACAGAAGAATCTTCATGAACTTTCGGAATCAAGTAAAATACATGCATGAGTAAACATAGTGTAAAAAAAGAAAAAAAGAAAAAAGAAAAAAAAAAAAAAGAAGGACTTTGTTGGAATCTGAATGAAATATAGAAATCATGCCCAAATCGTAACAAGAAGCATCATCAGAAACAGGAAATGCTAATTCAACTTGAAATGCCTAAGCTATAAAAACTAAATTAAAAACAATTACCCACGAAGAAGATCGTGTTCATCGATAAGGCGCCCGATGTAGACTGGATAGCTCCGATTCCCCCCAAATCGACTTGGACCATGGAAGGAACCCTAGGGCTCATTTTCGGCAACAATGGGTCGGTCCCCTGGACTAGCTCACAGATACACTCAAACGAATTCAATTTAAGGATTAGACCTTTTGAGGGCCAAGGAGAGGGTGGTCATCTGAAGAGTGGAGACGAAAGGTTGTAGAGAGAGAAGACATGGATTTGGGGGTTGGGTTATGGAATTGGTAGAGAGAGAAATTTTTGGTTCTGTTTTGGCGCCATTTTGGGTTAGCGAGTGTGAGGAACACGTGCGATGTGCGAAGTTGAAACGTGGCCTCATTAAAGATTTTCAAGTTTTTTTTTGGGTAGATTTTTGAATATTATTCATGAAACATTTTGATATTATATAAAATAAATAATTTTTATCAATTTTTATCAAACGCATTTGTTCTATGTTATAATATCCAATAAAAATAAAAATAGTAAAAATAAAATGCAAAAAAAACCCTTATTAAGTGTCAAATGCTGATTGACATATAAAATAAATTAGCATGAAAAACAATGCCACGAGGACACGGAATCTCATGAGTCATGCTCGTGGCTCATCAATGCAACGATTCAACAACCATCCTAAACTAAAAAACAGAGCTGCAAAGTCGTTTTCTCTTCCCTTGTATTCGCCACGTATCGGATCTTCCATTGGCCCACTAGCGCTGGCCCATTTTACGTCATTTTTGCTAAAAAAAATTCAAAAACGGATGCTTCTTATTTTCCTCTCTCTCCTCCGTCTCATAGAACAAAACAAACCCACCCCTCGTTCATCTCTCTCTCTCTCTCTCTCTCTCTCTCTGCGCTCTTCGTTGACAAGAGCGGGGCGCGAGATCCAAATAAAAAAGACAACGAAGGGCAGGTTGATCACGACGATAGATATCATATAAAACGATATGTATTCGTGAAGGACGGTAGAGTCATTGTTTCTCTATCCAGATTATTTAATAATGTGCCAGAGTGGCAGTGATTGAGGATCATTCGAGGAGATTCCAAACGGGTTTTATTGAATTTTTTGGATTTGGAATCTGGGTTTGTCTGGAAAACAAGATTTGGTGATTGAGAGGAGGAGGGAGTTGATTGCGTTTTCTGGGGGATTGGGAAGAGAGGAGTGGGATTTCTGGTGAATTTTAGAGATGGGTTTCTTGAGTTTTATAATGGGGTGTGCAGGATTTGGATTTGGTTTGTCTGCTGGGCTTGTCATTGGTTATTATCTCTTCATCTATTTCCAACCTACAGCTGTTGAGGTCTTTCTCTTTCTTCTCTCTATATATGTGTATACAAATGTATTTATATATATGTTCATACAAACATGCACACATATAAATGTTTTCTATTGATTTCCTTGATATGTTTGTTTCTATCTCTTTTATTTGATTCAAAATGGTGGTGCATATTCCTTATCAGATATATATGCAATTTCTATGATTATGATTTTGAATTGAGTTTGTAGTTGATTTGAGTAGTGCATAGAATCATGGGAATACATCTTTAAAATATTTAGGTAGATTTTAGTGGATGGAAAATTAGAACTAATGTTTTTTGGTTTGTTTCTTGGGAGAAAAAAAAATTACATTGGCTTATTTTCTAGGGATATTGATGCAGAGTTTGAGCTTTTCAAGAGCTTGAGCCAGCAGTTGTTAGAATTAACATGTGATGTAACAAAACCGCATCAGGGCTTGAGGCAAGGATGCTTCCCATGGTTGCTGGATCTTGCTCTCTGAGTCATCCCTTCCTTCCACTACTCTAGCTATTCGATAGAGTATTCGTTTACCTTTCTATTTTCTTACTTTATATTAAGTTTATTTTGGTCTCAATGTCTCTCAAGTTGTCTTGCTACTAGTGATGAGGCCCTCTCTTGCAGCTTCAGCATGAAGGCGCTTACTTGTTTGTACTGAAAAGGTGGGTTAAGTCACAGACTGTCTCTGATTAGTTGGTGAATTCATACAAGTGGTTCTGATCATTTTGTTGCGTAAAGTTATCATATTTGAAGGCGAACATCAAAAGCAAGAATAAGGTTTTAAATTGCGACATTGGGTCTTAGGAATGGTCATGGGATAACAATATGGGGATTACTGGTCAAGGTGTAAATGTGTAATGGAAATCTGTTATCATTGTTGTGAAATTTGTTTATCACTAGTAGAAAGTCAACCATGCTCTTTTTTATTTTTATTTTTTATCTTAGTTTGTCATATTTGGTTGATTTTGATAATTTTTCTATTGATGTTACAACGCTTTGATAAGTTAAACTAATAACATATGTTGATAATAGCGAGGGTCAAGGTATACAACTACACGGTGTGGTGGATGGTAGTATCTTGGTAATGGGGTACGAGGTTTGTACATAATTTTGAGTGCCTACATGATTTCTTTCATTTCCAACATCATGCTCTCCAAAACAGTATACTGGCCAGAGCATGGGAATGGGGGTGGAAAATGTGAATACGAAGCTCTCAGAAGCTAGCCAAGTCAGTTTGACAGGTCTACCAAAGCTTGTCCGGCTTTTAAAGCACATTGTGATTTTCCCATTAGTAATCATCGCTACTATCATTATCTGATGAGCGGCATTTTACGTATACTTGATCCACTCATGTCTAGAACTTTTGTTTTCATATCATCCGATCTGGCCTTCTCTTCTATGAGAGTGATATTTATTAGCAGAAGCTTCCTATACTGTAATCAGTGCCACTTCCCCCACTAAGTAAACTTAAAAGCGGCACCGCCAAGTGCCAGCATTAATTAGATGTACTCAAATCAGCACCAAGCACTACTTATTTAACTTGCAAAGAGCCTTGATTTTGAACTGCCTTGAGGTACTTAATTAGTGGCATCATCTTGATCATCATCATCTTGATCATCAAAAAAAAAAAAAAAAGGTACTTAATTAGTGGCATCATCTTGATCATCATCATCATCAAGTCTAATGAATTAGAATTGTCATGTCCATCTAACACTAGTTCTTCCTTCTCTTTGACCTTCTTCACATCCAAGTTAATGAGTAAAAGATGATTCTTTGTCTCCTTTTGGCTTCTCCATGTATTATGTGTGATTTTTAGTCTTATACTATGATAAATACAAACAAGTTCATTTAGTTTACATATTATGGTTGATTTAAATATACTCTAAATGTGCTCAAAATTAGTTGATTATGTGGATTCAATTAATACTTTGATAGTTGTTGGCTGAAGTTTGGGAGTCAACGTGTTAGGTTATTGTGACATAGTGTTGGCGAATTTCACAACAAAATTAGAGTATGTATTCTAGTTTCATCATCATCATTATCATCCTTGCCTTAATCCTATATGAAAAGCATCGGCCACATGAATTCTCTCTTCTTCTTTTTCCTTGGCAAGAAACTCACACACCCATTTTGTCCCATGGGGACTTGAACCCTGCCTCTTACCTTGGGAGGTAGAGGAGATACCATTAGGCTACCTCCTTTCTGGTAAAATGAATCCCTCACCTCATTATTTACTATTACAAGCCATCTCTTCTCAATCATTTTTAATGATTTCATCCCATGTTAACTTCGGTCTCCCTCCATGCCTCCTACCTTCTATGCCATAGGCTTTCTCTTCTTACTGGAGTATCTAGTGATTTTCTTTGGATATGTCCATACCACATAGGTCTGTCACCTAATTTCCTTTAGGTTAAAAGTTAGTTAAGTTAGTCAGGTTTGGAACTACCTCTGATCCATGGACTTCGTATATTACTAAATGAAGATAAAGTAGGGTAATTTCGTCTCATGAATCTCATAGTCACCAATTACGGTTTCTTTTCATGCATTCATTTCACATAAATGTCTTTAGGATGCATAACACATGCATTATATGACTTATATATAAGGTTTAAAGTTTGAAGAACTGTAGGAAAGTTGGATGGATCAATTGACCTATGATTGATGCCTGCCTACAGGACTGAGTACGATTGATTGATTAGTCATCTTTTTTCTAATGGCGAATATTTGATCATATTAGAAAGAGTACTGTCATGCATCTATTTTTTTTTTTAAGGAGGAGGATGATGTGATAAGATGCACGTACTATAAGTGTTGAAGTGGGTCTTCGTTGTCTCTTAAGGAAATGGTTCATGCAGTACAAGCATGTCTGTGTGTCAGTGCATGGAAAATAAGCTTAATAGCCTAAGTTTGATAAATGTGCGACCACTCATCGGCATGCATAACCAATGCAGTTATGAGACTATGAGAGAAAGGGTGGCATTCTTACATTTCCTACAGTTGCATGATGCTAGTAAAATAAATTTAGGATAACAAAATTAACAGTTTCATATATTATGGTAACTCGAAAATTTAAAGCTTTTCTTTCTGCGTTTGGCTAAATCTAACTGGTTTTTAACTACTGAATTGTTTAGGACCCTGTTATTCAACCACTGGTTGATCATGACTCTGAAACCTTGCAGCGGTTACTTCCTGAGATACCCCTTTGGGTGAAATATCCAGACTATGATCGTGTATGTATATAGTGGTTGTTACACCTTCTAAATCATTGTATTTCCTTGGTTATTGACTGCATTGGGTTCTGACTTCTGACCCCCTCCTTTGTTGTGTTTATTCTTGTCAAGATTGACTGGCTAAACAAGTTTCTTGAGTATATGTGGCCTTTTTTGGACAAGGTACTTTCCCATGTTCAGCCGTTTCTGAATCAATTTTTGTGGCTAATTGCTTCTCCTTAACTTTTCTGGATTAATTATATATTTCTTAACCTTTTTAAAACAGGCAATATGCAAGACTGCAGAGACTATAGCAAAGCCCATTATTGCTGAGGAAATTCCAAAATATAAAATTGATTCCGTCGAATTTGAAACTTTTACTTTAGGGTCTCTACCACCTACTTTCCAAGGTTAGTTAATCTGATACACCATTAAATCATTTTTCTTTTTGGCTTTGCAACCTTGTATTGTGCAACTGAATTCTGGTCTGAAAGCTGGACAAATACTACATTTGTTTGTTAAGTATGAAATAAACTGATAGAGGTAACTTTACTTACATTTTAAAGTAAAAACTGGAACTCCAAGCATGGAGCCTAGATTTCTTAGTGAAATCTGGGTAAAGTCTAAAAAAATAGTCAGTGAGCCGAAGAGATTCTGGTTTTTATTGATGAAAACTTGTTGTAATTGAGAAACAATAACGGGGATAATTTGTATGTCATAATTGAGAAAACTTGTTATAGTTGAGAAAACTTGTTATTGGTGAGGTGAAGGACTTAGGTTACATGGATAATTTGTGTGTCATAATGTGAGTGTGTTTCAAGTGATAGGAAATGTTGTTTAATGAAGTAACTCTTTACCTGTATCCTGTATACAGATTACTACTACCTTGAAGATAGTTGTGTTTTCAAGTTGGTAGAGAAGACCAAATTGTTGTCTAATGTGGATGCGTTTTTAGACATTGAAGAAGTTGAGGCCTTCCTGGTCCCCCTAATAGTTGTGCATGGCCCTAGCTGCCTGAGATCTGGATTCACAAAAATCTCTTTTGGAAGTTAACATTACAATTGCTATATATATATAAAAATAAAAAATAAAAAAAAATGAAGAAGAAGAATTGCCACACTTCAGCTTTTGATTTGTTTTAATACAGAATAGAATGTGTTGAAGAATGCTTAGTCACTTAAGTATTGAAGAATAGTTTTTGGGAAGTCAGAATGTACACAACAGAGATGCAAATAAATAATGGCAATTATTTTCAAGGTTTCCATATGTTGTTCACTCAATAGAATGCCACACTTATGGCTGCTGTTTTTCTGATAAATTGTTTTTGGTTGCTGGTGCTCAAATAGCATTGTTTCACATCGATTAAACTTACAAATGGTTTACCTTGTTGAAATTTTGGATTTATGTTTTTGGAGGTTTGGTCAATGTTGCAGATAGCTGAGGAGCCTCTATGTTGACTATAAGAACCCTGATGCTTATTTTATATTGGGACACTCTATTTTTTTTTTTCTTTTCTTTTTTTTTCTTTTTTTTCTTTTTTTTGTATTTTACCCTTTCATAATACATTTGTGTATTTTAATTATTAGAAAAGGATGAATGCCTATGTTACAACATTTATGGAAATGATCACTTTGGTAAATATATGGAATATTGGAATATAAGTGAATCTGACATGCAACTATAACTTTGCTCCGAACCTTCTACACAAAACTTGTCTTTGTAGGTATTAAAACCTATATGACTGAGGAGAAGGAATTGATTATGGAACCTTCCTTAAAATGGGCTGGAAATCCTAATGTAACTGCTGTTGTCAAAGCATTTGGGTTGAAAGCAACGGTTCAGGTTATTGGCTTGTTTTATTTTTTAAGAAAAATAGTTCATTATTGTTCTAAAGACACGCACACTCACTCACATAGCACTTTTTGCTGCCTGTTCTTAGTTTTACATAAATAGCTTCTTTTGAGAGTTTCAGGTGGTGGATTTGCAAATTTTTGCCGCACCACGTATCACCCTAAAGCCGTTGGTTCCATGCTTTCCTTGTTTTGCCAAAATCTACGTTTCTCTCATGGACAAGGTTTGTTTTGTGATGGTATTTTTTTTTGGTCTCCAAATTTTGCAATGATTTATGTGCTCAAGGTGGTGTGTTTTGCATTCAACCATTCACAATTGCTATTTGATGGTTATGGGACTCTGGTATTGTACTTGCAGAAAAAAAAAAAAAAAAATTGATTTAATTGGATGTTTGCAGAGCACTCAAATCTTGGACTTATATTCGCGCTTCATTTTAAAAATATTATTGTGAATACAGCATAATATTTTTGGGTTCATTCATTAAATGTTAGGTTTGGACACCATTGGAGTATTCTTTGTGTCAACCGAGATATGATAGACGCAAATCATGGGGTGTGACTTACCATATTATCTGAGATTTGGTAGGTCACATCCCATGATTTGCGCCTATCATATCTCGGCTGACAAATTTTTTTTTTTGAACCATAAATGACTCAACATCAATTTAATAGCCACATACGTTCTACACAATGACAGATACAGTCTCCAAGTGGTAACCAACAAAATGGAGGATTAAAAACAAGACAAGCTGGCCTAATAGAGGAATCACATCCCATGATTTGCGCCTATCATATCTCAGCTAACACTTTGTATATGAGTGACTCTTCTTTTCTTCTTCTTCCTTACATATCTTTGCTTTTGCAGCCACATGTGGACTTTGGACTCAAGCTTCTCGGAGCTGATCTTATGTCAATCCCTGGACTGTACAGGTTCGTTCAGGTACAAATCCTTGAGATGTTTCGAAGTTGTTTTTTGTTTTTTTGTTTTTTTTTTTTTTTGCTTTTTTTTTTTCCTATCTTTTATTTTTTCTGAATTTTATATTTCTAACTTTTTTGCTACAAGTTGTTGCGACATAGTCATATGCTTTGTTACATGGACTCTTCAAAAATAGTGAAGTACCCGCGTCTGACACGTATCCCTCGGACATGGGTATGGGATATGTGTCTGACACTTTTGGTTAAACATGTACTTAAAAAACATATCCAATCATTCAATTACATTATATTAGAACTTTAAAATGAATTAAATGCCTATGTTGAACATTATATTAAATAAAAACATTACTTTACTCTAGAAAATAAAATAAAATAATTAATAAAATGAATATTTTGCCGTGTCCGTGTGTCCTGTTTGGAGATTTGACACGTCCAACGCATGGACATACCCGTGTCCGACACCTCTACCCGAGTCCATGTAACATAGGTCATATGGTCCTTTGTTGACTTCAGCTGAGCCCTTTATATGTCTCTTAGATGATAATGCTACATTCATAAATAACTTGCTGGATAACATAACTGAATTGCAATGGAAGTTGTAATTCATATTAAAAAAATGAATTTATGGAAGTTCAGTTTTTGGGTTTGCCTATATGGGAGTCATTTAGTATACCTGCTTGCCGGAATGGTGTTTCGAGTTTCATCTGATGTCACCCTGCTATCTCTATTCTAGTCTTGCATTTCATCCCATGTCATAATTGAGGTGACCTATTGTGCGACTAGGATGGCAACCCCACTCAAAATTTGCAAATTGGCTTTTTAAGAAGGGGTCTACCACTAATCAGTAAATTGAAAAAAAAGGAGAATGCAGATAGCCTCCTGGTGTAACAATCAAAGGCTGGATTTGAGTGCTTGTACACGAGGTTGTACCTCAGTAGGTATCAGAAGCATCACATCTGATCTCCACCTCAAAGGTGGGAAAAAGAGAGGTTGGAAATCATAAACACATAACTGCCTGATATGACCTTCAAGGATTAAGAACTGAACCTGAGATCTTAGGAAAGACTTTAAAGCCACTTAACACTTGACTACAAGATGAGGATTATTGTTTTTGTTTTTGTTTTGTTTGCTTTTGGGTAAGTTACACTCAAGTCTCCTAAGGTATGTTGATTAAAAAATTACACTGGCCTCCCCTGGGGTTGGCGCACTTTGTACAGATTCTTCCCTTATGTTAACGGTTGACAAAGTCAAAGGACGACATTTGCTTACTTCACGAAAATTAAATTATAGAATACCAGATTTTCCCTTGTCCCTACACTTTAACTCTACAACTAAAATAATATAATTATTATTGAGGGCAAAAAGGTAAAATTATTAGTTCAATGGAAATGTGTGACAGTGTAGGTTGGTGTAATTTTTGAACGGATAGGGGAGGCATATGTAAATAAGCTATACTCAGGCGAAGTGAGTGTAATTTACCCTGTATTTTTCTTTTTCCTCAAATAAATTTATGACCAATTTTCTTGAAGTTACTTTTTTTCACTTCTGGCTCTCTTCACCCATGTTTACTTAATGGGAGCTATAGCTGCTGTTTATTTTTTTATGAAGTATAATCTATTTGATTATATTTTGAAAGACAGTCGGAATGGTCTGTTTCTCAGGATTATTTAATGAATCCCTCCAGAGATTTTAATCAATGCCCTACGATTTCAACAGAAGCTTGGAAGAGTATAATAAATAGTGTTTTGATGGTGAAAAAAGAAGCTTGAAAAGCTTGGGAAAATGGTGTCTTAATGTTGAATCAGACGTAATTTATTTTATTTATAATTTCATATATGTAATTTTTTACCTCACCAGCATACTGCCTATTCCCATGCAGGACTTTGGACTTCCTTTTCTTGTTTGAACCTAGTACCTTATGACTGGTGTGAGTATGAAAGTGTTATCTGATTTGAAGTTTGTTTGTGAATTAGAAAGATTATGGAAGATAGAGTTGCGATGGGTTAATAATAGCCTTTTGTGCATCTACAACTTGGTCCATGTTGTGCAGATGTGGACCATTTGTCCCACTTTTCTGAACGTGAAAGATTGTTAGACCGTAACCAAAGGCTCTTATAGTGAGTCACACAAGGTCAATGATCTAGACTTTGGGGATAGGGTTGGGGTGGTGGGGATAGGTTTTGTTGGTTGGATTAGTTAAGCGTTACTACTTTTTTTGAATTTAAATGAAATTAACATTTATTTAAATTCAAATTATAACTATAAAATAAAATTAACTCGATCCATCATCTTATCATGCAATAAACGGGTAAAAGCAGTAATGGACATGGAGATTTTGACGTGGAAAATCCAACCGAGAAAGTCTTATGACCTTGTCCGAGAATCCATTTTGAGAAAGAAGCATTACAACTTAGGTTAAGAATTTCTCACTCTAGAAAACTCCTAATTACCTTTTGACACAAATTGATCCACCAATCTCTTGTCAAGTCTCCAGAGTCCAGGCACATGATCCGCTCGTCACCAGACTTCACTCCTCGCATATTGCTTCTCTAACCATTTATTCAGTCTTAGCCACTAGTCGTCCTAATCAATCTTTGTTAAATGGATCGATGATTTGACGTTGGTGTTGACCTCTTCAGAATGTTTTACAGCAATGATATCAACACACACAGAATAAATGCAAGAATGGTGAATATAAAGAAAAATAAATGCACTCTAGAACTCACAAGTATGTTCTCTCTATGTGCTCTGGCATTAGGATTCTAGGTATCTATAATCTGCCTGAGATTAGTGTATATATAGGCAAATTTGAAGTATATAGTATAGGTTTTTGAGTGTTTTAAATTAGAAAGTAAAGTGGAATCCTGTTTTAATTTAAAAAGGAAAGTAGAATCCTGAATAGCTTGATAGATCTAGGAGCTAGGTTAGTAGATCAACACAATTCGTACTCCTCGTCCAATAGCTCAATTGATCGAAGTCTACTGCAGTTTTATACTTGGAAATTTTTTCAATATAACAAGTTTCCAAAACACTTGCATGCATAGTAAAGGGGATTTTGAGAATCAAATCAAATCTAGTACAATTAGAAACCCTAATGCATGTACGCATGAACCCTAATATTGGTGAATTCATTCAAGTGTCAAATTACCTTTTTACCCTTGGTGCAGAAGATTAAACATTTACCCTTGTATGTAACTCCAATTACACATTTACCCTTTTATGTAGCTTCAATTTCACCCAAGTCCTATTGACCTAGCAGAAGGAAAGAAACATTTTTCTGTATGAGCTAGGAAACATTTTCCCTACCATGCTCATTTATTTGATTTCTATTTCAAGGTTTTAACAATCTTAGAAAGTTTTATTTCTGCAGGAACTTATCAAAGATCAGGTTGCTAACATGTATCTGTGGCCTAGAAACCTAGAAGTACAAATTATAGATCCAGCAAAGTATGCTCCTATATCCAGTCTTTCTTTTCTTATCTTTTTAGTGGGTTACTTTTTTGTTTTAGTGATTTCATATTTAATATTTAACCAAATTAATACGCTTTGAAATTGCAGAGCCGCGAAGAGATCTGTAGGAATTCTTCATGTGAAGGTTCTGAGGGCAATGAAGTTGAAAAAGAAAGATCTACTTGGTTCATCAGACCCTTATGTAAAAGTAAAGCTCACTGAGGATGTGCATCCGTCAAGGAAGACTGCCGTGAAGCATAAGAATTTAAACCCTGAATGGAATGAGGAATTCAATATGGCTGTTAAAGATCCAGAGTCCCAAGTTTTGGATCTTAAAATTTATGATTGGGAACGGGTATATACTTCATTTTAAGAGTTAAAAACTTGTCTATCTCCTAATTCCATGTTGTTTGTCTCAAGCTGTTTATCCTTTTCCTTAGGTTGGCAAACATGACTTTATGGGCATGAATACAGTTCCCTTGAAAGAACTTTCCCCTGATGAACCAAAAGTTTTGACTCTTGATCTTCTTAAGAACATGAATGCAAATGATGTTCAAAATGATAAGTCACGTGGGCAACTTGTGGTGGAATTGAATTACAAACCTTTTAAGGAGGAGGAAATGGAAAGTGATTTTGACGAATCAGGTACAGTGGAAAAGGCTCCGGAAGGGACGCCTGACAGTGGAGGCCTTCTTGTGGTTATAATTCATGAAGCACAAGATGTTGAAGGGAAGCACCATACCAATCCGTATGTGCGGATCCTTTTGAAAGGGGAGGACAGAAAAACTAAGGTATATGGATAGCTAGACCATCTGCTCTTGTATGTTTATTTATATGTCTTAATCCTTTATTGAAAAATCTTGAATAAACAATATATTACATGATAACATGACGCACAATTTACTTCCCCTTGCAATCTGAAGTATTTAATGTTAATCTCAATGCTAGCAACTCTTTCATTTTGAGGCAACTTGTAAAACTTCTGTTAGCACTCTCTCTTGTTGTTGCATGTTGAGGTAGAGTAGCAAGCAAATAAAGTTGTTCTTGAATTGAAATTATTTTTTAATTCCTACTTTTTTACAATTTTGGGTTGGTAAAAATATTAGATTTTGACTTCCACCACAATGGTGGACCACTTAGTGAAGATGGTTTTGTGTTGTTCTTGGAAGTTTGATTTTGTTGCACATGTGGCCTGCCAATGATTATTTCGTATTCCTTTGCTACAGCATATAAAGAAGAATAGAGATCCAAGATGGGAAGAGGAGTTCCAATTCATGCTGGATGAGCCTCCCACTAATGATAAGCTACATGTGGAAGTTTACAGTGCCTCATCGAGGATTGGCCTACTACATCCTAAGGTACAGTTTTACCTACTTTATTTTCAACTTTTATGCATAAAGCAGAGGAACAGATCTTTCTGTTTTACATAGTTTTTCATATAGGAGAAAATCAAACTTAAGTGCTTTTGCTTGAGAAGTCTAGCTTTCAGATGATAGTGATGTTTTGCATTAGTGAAGCACTCTTTCTACAGCTCATTTTGCTTCGTGCAAAGATTAATGTTCTATTCTGGACTAGCATCAGCATTTAAGAGAATGCAATTTCACTTGAAATAGTTTTCTGTGGAATATAAATTTCCTTGCCTAATATTATTATGTGGAGTATAAGATGAATAGTCTCTTACACGTTGCTTACTGATATTTGGAACTACTCTTCAATTGTTTCTTCAGTTTGGATGAATGCATAATTGTTTTGAACGAAGTATTATTAATATTGTTTCTCTCAGGGCTTTAGACACAGTAACATTGCCAGTAGTCTTTTAGAACTATTTCCTGGAACTATTTTTCGTGGTAAAGTACAGCCTCAATGAACACCCTAGTGTGTGTTATTCCAGACTTTTTTGCTATCTAAACGTGAAGGATTAATTTCTAGATTCTCTGAATTCTTTCATAGATGAGCTGAAGCTCAAAATGACACTTAAAATACATCTTTTTGGCTGGCTGATCACTGTAGTGTCTGGGAGGTTGACATGGTGTTCCTGACAAGAAATTGTCTCCTTTTATACCTTTATATTAAATTTAATGGGTCCTGTTAAGTAATTATTGTTGATACTCTCTCTGCATTAAATCATTTACTTGTGTATTTTCTCCTCCTGGAATCAGGAATCTTTGGGGTACATTGATATTAGTCTTGCTGATGTTGTTTCCAACAAGCGCATCAACGAGAGGTACCATCTAATAGACTCGAAGAATGGACGAATCCAAATCGAGCTGCAATGGAGAACTTCTGCTTAAGCCTTTTGTTCGATCTTTTTCCCGATACATTTTTCCGAGATTGAGATAGCTGCGCACTTGGAGAGATACATTCTATTGTTTCTTGGTCTTGATACCAAATTATAATGTTTGTTGTCTGTATGTACCTCAGTACCAATAATACAAAAGTATATACTTCGTACTTGCTGTTGACACCCCAATTTTCGGTTTCATTTCTCATTTTAGGTTTTGGTTGTCTTGCTTGTTTACTATTATTACAGGATTCAGTCAATAATATTGTAACATATGGGGTGATTTGGTGATTCTTGATCTGGTCATTTCCTCTTTTGTTCAAGTCATGTCATCAAAGTTGCAATTTTGTTCCCACTATGGATTTGCTGCAATAAATCCATAACTGCACCCTAATTTCAATACAAGATGTCCTTGACGAGAAATTATTTATTGCAATCGTTGTAACGATGACGTGGTGTAACGGATGGCTATAAACACTCCACCAAAGTAAGAATAAAAAAGTTGATATATGTGCTTGTAGGTCTACTTTACTTTAGTGGAGTGTTTGTAGCGCACCACGTCATTGTTTTTTTATTATTATTTATTAACCCGGGGTGTCCGGGAAGGCACAAACTCTTAGGGTCCCTCAACAACCCGACTAATCCCTGAGGACTCGAAATGGAGCCTCCCCACCTGGGTCAGGTAAGTCACTGCAGGGACAGCGGAGGTCATCCACAATGAGCACCTAGTGGTAGGAGTGCACACGGTTTGGTTCCTTACGGTTCCGGTCGGAACTGAAACCAGAACCGTTCACAACGGTTCCTAAAAAAGGGAACCGTATAGATTAGAACTGAACCAGAACCGAGGTTCGGTTCCATGAGAACCGTTAACCATGAGTTAAAAGGCAGCGGCTGAAGCTTGCGAACTCGAACTAGAACAACGGGTGATGAAAACTGAAAGATATAGATTTTGATTTTTTGAACAATCTGAAATGATATGCCGAATTACCGATATGGGTTTTGAACTTTTGATTATTGCAGACATATCTGAAATATATGGGTTTTGAACTTCTGATTCCTGTAGATTTTGTAGTTTACAGTTGCAGAGAGAGAGATGGCAAGTTTAGCAGTTGCAGAGAGAGAGGGGCAAGCTTGAGAGTTGAGAGACAGCGGCTGAAGCTTGCAAACCCAAACTGGAACAATGGGCGATGGAAACTGAAAGATATGGGTTTTGATTTTTGTGAACAATCTGAAATGATATGCCAATATGGGTTTTGAACTTTTGATTCTTGTAGACAGATCTGAAATATATGGGTTTTGAACTTCTGATTCTTGTAGATTTTGTAGTTTACAGTTACACAGAGAGAGAGGGCAAGTTTAGAGTCAAGAGAATAGAGATGAAGCGATTGGGGAGGTTGAGCTGCTGAAATGATATACCCTAAAAATAATTTTTTTTTTTAGGTTTAGACTATAGAGTTACTAATAATATAATCAAATAATATATATATATATATATATATATATATATATATATATATTATGGTTTGGTTCTGGAACCGGAACAGTGAGACCGGAACCGAACCGAAACTCAACGGTTCCTCATTTTAAGAACCGGAATTTCGGTTCCGGTTCTCACGGTTCCGGTTCCATGGTTCTTTTGTGCACCCCTACCTAGCGGGACTTGAATCTCATACCTTGGGCTTATTAAGCTCCAAAGTCCAGCGACTAAATTGCTGGGCCATATTCGAGGTGGATGCACTACGTCATTGTTGTTGCAATGAATAATTTCTTGTACTTAACAAAATATCCCTGAGAAGACTTTTTGGTTAGTTAATCCTATGGGAAAATAAATGGATCAATGACTGACCATTATACAATGGATCTGTGAATAATTTAACAGAATCACCATTCACATTTATGTGATTGTGTCTTTTTACATAGAAGTAAAACAGAAAATCATCCATTACAAGTTCTTTGACAACTTCATGAAAAATTTGTCCTTTGAAAAATATTTTAAATGGAAGAATAATAAAAGTATAATAGAAAAAAAAAATCTATAACCCAATTTTTTTTTTTTCCCTTTTTTTTTTTTATTTTTTTTTTATTTTTTTATCAAGGTCCTAATGAGACTCCTTTTCTTGTGAAGGCAGAGGTCCCTCCAAGAGCATCATTGTGGGAGCTATTTGTCATGAAATAAAAATTTTCTATTATTTAGGATAAATTATATTGACATTTTCTGATGTTTGGACAAATTACGCATGAGTAGACTGTTCATCGTTTATTACTTTGACCTCCCCTAAGAAATGGCACGTGTAGGACCCAAAAAAATTTGGTGGGCCGGGGGGGGGGGGGGGTCTTTTAATTTGTAGGGGCAAATTTATATAGTGAGTCCATTTTTATAATTTCAATCGAGTTTTCTATAAAATGCAAAAATAAAATAAAAAATTATACGGGGACAAATTGTAATTTTTAGTGGGGGGCAACTTCATAAATTATTAAAAATAGAAGTATAAAATGAAAAAAAAAATCCAGTGGGGACGAATTGTAATTTTAGTGGGGGCATCTTCATAAAGTTTAAAAAATTTAAGATATAAAATAAAAATATAAAAAATCCAGTGGGGGCGGATGTGGTCCTATGGTGGGTCCATGCTTAGGCACGTGTGCTCAATGACACCAGTTTTTTTTTTTCAACATCCTTGTTCACTAAAATTTAAAAAATACACTCCCCCCCCCCCCCCCCGCCCCACCAATTTTAAAAGGGGACAAAATTATTGGGATTTATATGCCCTGGTATAACAAATTCCTATTTGGATTAAAGTGACATATGTTTCTGACATATCTGAAATATTTATGATTTATACAATTGGTGAATTCAATGTATTATGTTTTGATTCATTATGGAATTGATAGTGTCCATTGATTACAAGAGATATTTATATATGTATGTGATGGCGATCAATACATGAATATAAATAGTAATCATAAATTGTTCATAATCGGTAATTATAGATGGACTCATTATTAATTAAGACTTGAACTAGATCTGCGTTAGTTTGAGATATATTGCGAGAACCGTCGTATGCAATTACTCCCTATCACTGTCATGACATTTGACTCTTAAGCATGAGAGTGAGAGAAATATAGATTCTTTTATTAATTAATAATTACTTTGTTTTGTTCGGCGGAATTTTCGGAATCCATAGACCGGTACTTTGGGTAATTATGTAATTAATAGTTAGAGGGTTATTTTTTCAATATTTGCATCATTGCTACTTGTATTTATTTTGTATTGATTATGGTTGATCACAAAGTAAGTTCAAAGGCCTTCGTGTGTTTTTAGACAAAATGATTTATTATATATTTATTTATTTAAATTATTATTTTTGTCAAACAAAAGTTTTATTGTGATCAAGCCGGAAATAATCAAAGGTACCAAAATAAAATATATTAATTAAGTAGTCGGATTGATGGCTTTATTTATCCGATAACTAATTATGTATAGAGAGGTCAAAGTGCAACATTGACTTAAAAGTTATTTATTATTTAATTGGAGTTCAATTAATTTCTTTTAGTGGAGTAGAAATTAATGAATGAATTAATTTAATTGGGTAATGGACAGGCCAATTATTAATTCATTATAGCCAATAAAATAATAAGTCCAAAGGATTCTCACTCATAGCTCAACTTGATATTGGAATCCTATTAGATTTGAGATATCACGTTTCTTTTTAGAGATTGAGAAAAATATAATGTCTTTAATAATTATTTTTATGTTGCCTATATATACAAGGAGTTCATATATATTTGAAGCGACGCTTTATAAAATAATTTAAGAGGACAAGAATTTTTTTTTTCTCTCTAGAATTTTAGGGTTAGTGTTCTCATCTAATGGAGGCTCCCACAAGCCTAGTTTTCCAAGGTCATTGATGGAGACTTATGGGTGATTCCTAAAAGCAAGATCATTACCGAGAAGATGGAGATCCAAGTAGAAGGCATCTAGCAAAGGGATCTACAATAAGTGAGAACATTCACTTTAGCGGAGAAATTAAAGGTTTACTCAAACCTTGATGTAAGTTTTCTATCCCTAAATTGAATGTATCATCATATTCTTCATGCATAAAACTCGTCTCTACACATGAATCAAGATCTTTATTTGAAAAACCCTCACAGAGTTTTAAAAACTTTAGTTTCTCTAACAGTGGTATCAGAGCTAGATTTGATTCATGTATATAGTTCATATTTTTTTTACTGAAGAAAATCATCATTCATGGATCCAAATTTATGTATACATATGTATATATTAATATATGATCATGATGTATATATTTTTGTGATTGGATGATGTTGATATATGTTTGGGCCATAGATGAACCTTATAGTTTAATTACATGTAATTTTATCTTTGGATGAATGTAATTAAGGCTTTGGTTTAGCCATTTGAAAGTTCATTAATGTAATTTAATTTTTTTCATTATATTTCAAATTGTAAAATTTATTTAAAGCCATGTAATCTTCAACAAAGATGCTATGAAGCTTCAAGAAGGTCCAAGAGAGTTTATTTTGGCTTCAGGAATTTTTTGAAATTTTCTGAAATTTATTCAAAATTTTTTGGGCCAAATAACATTTTCTGGAAATTTTTATTAATTTTCTGGAATTTTTCAGCGATTTTTTGGCGACTAGAGAGTCGCCGGTGGCGAGGTCAGCGCCGGAGTAAGGTCGGTTGATCCGGTGCAGCGCGGTGCACCAGCATACGGTACACCCGGATTAGCGGCCCTTGGATCACATGATGGTGGCGGAAGATGATACTGTGAGGCACGGCTACAATGTGCACCATGCACTCCCAATGGGAAAGCGTGTGAGGCGCACTCGTATAGGCAATAGGCGCCAACTGGCGCGTGCCAGCGCGTGGAACGCGCTGGCAACTTCCCACATGCGCGTGCCAGTGTGTGGCACGCACTGCATCATCCCTTTAGCGTGTGCAGGCGCTTGGGAGCGCGTGGCAGGCGCTGGGAACCTTCAAGGGCGTGTGCCAGCGCATGCAAAACCTTCCGGGCACGTCCTAAGCACTGTTTTGCTTCTCCGGGCTCGTACCAGCCTCCTACAGGTGTTTACAAGCCTTTGGCGAACGCCCGTACAATAAGAATAAGCATTTAAATGTTAAAAGTTGAGTCCATTGGCCATTTCATTTATTTGTTTTCTGTCTGTCATTTATTTATTTATTTATGTGATGTATGAAATGCATGGAATAGATAATTGTTAATTAGTTATTATTTATGCATTGGATCCATGATATTTA